CTCGTTCTTCTTGTTTCTTTTCTTTTTCCTCTAACAACTGCTGTAATTTCTCTTCTTGTTTCTTTTCTTTTTCTTCCAACGATTGCTGTAATTTCTCTTCTCGTTCTTCTTGTTTCTTTTGCTGTTCTTGTATTGTTCTTACCAATATCATTAATGCATTTGTATGACCACACTTATAGAGATAGACTAATGAATTTGTTTTTACCACATTTAAGAGATTACACTAATAAGTTTGTATTACCACACTTATATATAAATACCACTAATAAATCTGTATTACCACACTTAAAACATACCATTACTGCGTTTGTATAACCACACTTATAGAGATACGACTAATGAATTTGTATTACCACATTTAAGAGATTACACTAATAAGTTTGTATTACCACACTTATATAGAAACACCACTAATAAATCTGTATTGCCACACTGAAAACATACCATTACTGCGTTTGTATAACCACACTTATAGAGATACGACTAATGAATTTGTATTACCACATTTAAGAGATTACACTAATAAGTTTGTATTACCACACTTATATAGAAACACCACTATTAAATCTGTATTGCCACACTGAAAACATACCACTAGTGAATTTGTATTGTCACACTTAGAATATACCACTAATGAGTTTGTACTGTCGAACTTAAGAGATGTCACTAGTGAGTTTGTATTACCACACTTATAGAGGTACAACTAATAACTCTGTATTACCACACTTAAAAGATACGACTAATGAGTTTGTATTGTTTTCTGCATTTTAAGAGTACTTTCAAAGGCCTAATTATCATTTACTCTAGTTGCAATGTCAAACAGAAGGTTAAACGCTTAACAGGGTGGCTTGAATTATTACTAAAGTTAAAAATTGAAAATTATTCACTGTTTCATCTCGTATCTGAGCATGTACGCAGTTTTACAATAAGAAATGTTGTTTCCATCGTTTCTTTAGAGATGTGGACGAAACGTGGAACGGCTGTACATTGATGACCTACCTTCCGCCTTTTGATGGTAAGTGTATGATCTGATTGTAAGACAATTGTAGAGGGACTGACGTATTGAAGTCGGGTCTGAAAAATTAGCGAACAATTATTAGTACGACAGCAACAACAACAAACATTTAATTCTTGAACGTTTCGGAGTCTCCCGGTGGGACAGCGCTAAAATTAGGGACTCAATTCCCCTCGGTGGACACAGCAGATAGCCCGATGTGGCTTTGCTATAAAAACACACAAACGTTTCGGAATAAACATATCCTATCTTCAACAAGCTATATTAAAAGGTAAAATATTAGGTATAAAAATTTCTAAGTTTCCAACATTTTTGTAAAGAGGAATTAAATGAAGAGTAAAAAGGATGATTTTTTTTAAAATTTCATCTTTTTGCTCCGTATTTTAATTCCTCTTTATAAAATGTTGGAAATTTAGAGATTTTTTTACCTAATACTTTACCATTTCACCTTGTTTAACATAGCTTGCTGAAGATGGAATATGTATATTCCGAAACGTTCAAGAATTGAATGTTTGTTGTTTCCGTCGTACTGTTGTTCATCATTGAGTTTCGACATGCAGACAAACAACGAGAAATATAATCAGATATATAAATAGATGCTTTTTATAACTCCCCCCCCCCCCTCCTGTGGAATTCTTATTCATCTAATTTATATGAACCATTATAACTGAGACACAAAGGTACAGGAAAAATCACGCATTTTTTTCGATTGGTTTCTCTATGAGCAATTGTTTTTCTGTACCTCTAATGTAGTAATACGAAGATGTTTGTTATGGAGTTATAAAAACATGCTTACTGGAAAGTGCAAAAGGATGGACATCACTGTTTGATTCCAGATGTCTATCATATTCCTTTTAATTAGCTCATTACGAATTTTAAATGACATATATTCTGGTTAAGAAGTTAGCACATAGGATCACATACAAAAGTTGTAACGGTTTTCAAACGAGACCCAAAACTCGAACGCTCTCGAATAGCTCACTATTCTTGTTATGTATATATATATATATCAAACTCAACATAATTTCTGATTAAACAGTGGTATAATACCTCTTAATTATTCTCTTCTAGGTCACTACCCTCCTCTTCCTGGAATCACAGAATGGAACAGTCCTGAAGCAGTGGTAGCCATGGAGAACGAAATTGAAAAGTGGCATGTTATTAAACTTACTTCTATGTCGTATTCGTTCTAACGTCTTTATTTACATACAATAGGGTGATCGATTATATTACCCTTGTTCAGTACAACGCGATTTAACACTTTAAAATGATTAAAACTGGTGTAAAACATACTATGTATATTGTAGTGGGATGCAGCAAGCTACTCAGCGATCCCATTTTTTAAATGCTTTAAATCCTGTACTAGAAGGACTTAAGAATATTTTATAATTTATTTGAGCATTTTCTGTGACACTACCTTTCGGGCATATATTGAAGCCATATTTGTTTCTTAAAAAATTATCAGCTGATGTTCATTTAAACAAGTTTCCACAAATGTCGAGGAAGAAAACAAACGAAAATCACTTTACAAACTGGTATTAACTACTTTTGTCAAGTCTTGAACGTGTACTATCATTGTTTTGAAGTTCTCTTTACAATCTGACACTATCCGCATTGTTTTATTCACATGTTCTCCCATAAAAGGTATTTCCAAACACATTCCGCTGATACACTAACTTGCATCTACAAAGTGTTGGTTCCTATAGTTACCGTAAGTGATAATACTTATAGGAAGAACATATCACTCGTCAAACGTGCTCGAGGTTTTAGATAGCATGTTTTTAATGTTTGATTATATTTTCATAAAAACTACTTGAGTTCTAATATGATAGAATTCATTTCACCTTTTGATTTTCTAGGAAACAAAATAGCTTAGAAGCATACCAAACACAGATTATCTTCCTGACTAGGCTCCAACAGGAGGTGGAAAGATTACATGAGTTGGTAAGATGGCTGATTTGTAGTTATTAACACGACTTCTACAGTACCATTTCAAAGCAAAGTGTTGTAAAGAAATATCTCTCTTTCATAAACATATAATTTAGATTTTAAAATCGTATTTATACGTTTTACAGAATAAGAATGTTAAACATAATAACTATCTAGGTATGGTGTTATAATCTTTAAAAAATATTTTATTATATTTGTTTTATGATTACATTCCATGCGAACAAAGTAACGTAAGTTTTATAGTCATGAGGAAACTGAAATGTGATTCCTTTTTCACACAGCTCCACCTATTAGTTAACACTATCTTTTCAAATATTGTTTACATCACTATATTTCAATCAAATTCGTCCTACAGCAAACAATATATTGTTTAAATGCTAAAAAAATACAAATAATTTCAAAATGAAGGAAAAGTATTACATAGTCATTGTTGTATCTGTATTTGAGTGCATGACTGTCAGGTCAGTGCTACGACCTGATAGAAAATTTAAAAAATACATACACCCAAGTATGCCCCAATCTATAACTCATGTCTAGTCGTTTTTATTATCTAAGTTCTTGACTCGAGTTTATTAAATTAGTTTGTGTCAAAACTATATTAATAACTGAAAGCTCTAATAATCTATGTGAAATTATAATTTGTGGGACAATATAAGAATTGTTAAGAAATTTTGGGGAACATAAGAGTTATATCTATTTACAATTATGTATCGCATTAGAAGTGTTTCTCAACTTGATTTGTGGAATCGGTTAAAAGAATCAATTTTTCATTAACTCACCATTCACACCTACTAAAACGCAATAAGGTAATAAAAATTTGGAGACGGCTTGAATGGGTAATGCAGAAAACTTTATTATAAACGTACAACGTTTTGGCAAGATTATGTCATCATCAGGTACAAGTAGTTTACATAGACACAATAATAAATAAATATATATATATATATATATATACAGTATGGATCAGAAAGGTCACATGATCGGAGATTTCTTAACAGCTTAGTAAAAGTATCTTGGTACCCTGGGGTGTTAGTTTAGAGCAGGGTTGTTTTGTTCAATCAAAATATCTTTCTTTATTTTGCGTTTGTTGATGTTTAGTTCTTTGTTTAAAACTATAGTGTTTTGTGCAGATACACTGAAGTTTTTTGAGTTACAATGGTGGTAAACATGGGAGGGTTTTTATTATGTTCGGTGCTAGTTTCCAATTTTTTTCCGGTTTCTCCGATGTATAATTCTGGACAGCTATTGCACGTTAGTTTATAAATGACGATGGAATTATGTTTTGTGCCGGGTTTTGGGGTTAATTTGACATCAACAGGAATTTTATGTTTGATGGCAAGTTTTCTCCAAGTGTTGATTATTTTTGAGCTGATGTTGGGGATAAATGGTAAACTGCAGTGTAATGTTGTGTTGTTGTTTGGTGTATTAATGCCAATTGGGTTTGTGAGTTGAGTTTTGAGGTTTTTGTTCTGGTGGTTATATGGAAATGTTTCGACAAGTTAGTTGAAATGTGTTGGTGTAAATGAAGGAATGCTTCATAGAGTTGATTTCTTCATCTATGTACTCAGTTGAACAAAGTTTTGAAGTTGTATTTATAAGATTTTTTAGTATATTGATTTTATGTTTGAATTCATAGGCGGAATTCCAGGGGATGTAGAAGCCTGTATGAGTGATTTTTTTTCGGTGAATTTTGGTTTTGAACTGTGTGTCGGATCTGATAATGTTGAGGTTAAGAAAATATAACTGTTTGTTATTTTCATGTTCAATGATGAATTCAATGTTCGGGTGAATGGAGTTTATGTGTTCAAAGAAAGTATGTATATGTGTGGTAGAAGTGAAACCATCAAAAGTGTCATCGA